AGGAAGGGAATGGGTGGTTGGGGGGTAGTTAGTTGGCTGGCGTTGGGGAGAGTGACGAGAGCGGGGCGGGGTGGTAGTTACGTGGGCGCAGGGGCGAAGGGGGGAAAGAGGAAGGGGGAAGAGGACGGGGAGGGGAAGGACGAACCACGTGAACGAGTGAAGCTGCTGCCAAGGAAAGAATGTACAAGAAGCCGAACTGAAGGACGGCGGGGAGGCTGGGAGAAAGGACTAGGACTGCACACACACACACACAGTGTTAAACCGTCATCCCCAGGGGCCAGACCGCATCTGCAGAAGTGCAGATCTTCGTGCCTGCTGCCGTACACACCAGCTGTACATTCGTACGTTCGTACCTGCAGTCGTATTTTCTGCCAGTCGACGCACCGGGCGGAGGAGCGCAGGGGCGTGAAGGTGCGACTGCGACAACCGTCACCTTCGGTTGGGTTGGTTAGGTCGGTTGCGTCATGTACGGCATGATGGGAACAGGAAGAGGTAGGGGAGAAAACCGGGTGCGGATGGCGTTACTACTACTGCGAGGTTGGGTTGCGGTGATGGTGGGAGATGTGCTGCAATGTGCTCAATGTGCATGTGCTGCAATGTGCTCAATGCCACACTCTCTCGCGCGTCAGTGGCTCCCCCTCGGCTGCGAGACCAGTGCTCGAGTGTTGATCGCAAAGGTCCCAAGGGGGCCCCAGGGCCTACAGCGCCCAGACCTTGACGTACACCACACCAACGAGTTGGCCTTAGTCCCGTAATTACCGGCAGGCGGCTGGAGTGACGGGAGTGACATGCACCTCACTCCCCCCACCTCACTCTCCCCTCCCCCCCCACACACAGCACCCACCCGTGCACTTGGTGGGCAGCGTGTACACTCCATCCGCGAAGTTGACTCCGGTGGTGGAGCCGCACTTGGCGCACACGAAGTCCAGTCGGGTGACCAGGGGGCGGACCGGTGTCATCCGGACCACTGTGCCCCGCAGAGTCACCAGCTTGCCTGGCAGAGGGGGGGGGACAGGGAGACGTGAGGGGGGTGGGGAAAGACGAACCACGAGCGAGATGAGGGAGGGGGTTCAGACGAACCATTGGCGAATGGAGCGGATACCAAAGAGGGGTCGAAAGAGGGGGAGGTGAGGGGGGGGGAGAGGAATGCATGAAAGGTGCCGCGGTTAGGCAGAGTCCCCTCCCCGTCAATGACTGTCGACATCCAAAGGGAGCTGGCTTAGGGAGTGGGAATGAGGGTGGGGTTAATATCATTGGTGCCTGTCGTACAACGTTCTTTGTACAGCGAGTTAGGAGCAAGGGGACAAAGGAAAGGGGAAACAAGAGTGCGGCATAACAGCTGCTGATACAACAGCTGATACGAAATCCGTAGTGGGAAATACGTTTCCTATTTTTGGAGTAGGACGTAGTGGGGGGGTATTTACTGGGGGGGTTAGGGGCCTTGGGTTTACGACGGGCAATGGGGGAGTTGGGGGACCCGTCAACTCAACTGCACGCCCACCCCACAGCGGCCCAACGACTTACAGCCCAACCGACCCACGGGTCAAGGCATCCACTATACAACCTACTGTTCCAAACCGACCCACGGGTCAACAGTGACTCGTTGATCGACACACTGACCCGCAGAATCCTTTCGCAGCACAGTACGGTACAGTACGGCACCCACCCACTCACCAATGGAACTGGATTTGAGTTGCCGGATGTGGGTCATTGAGGCGGGGTGGTTAACCAGCCGAACAACAACGCGGCCGGGAGGCGGCGGCGACTGCTGGGTCCCCTCACCACTGACCCCCTCCCCTCCCATCGCCCTTCCTCCTGCTGCTCCTGCTCCTGCTGGTGGTGGTGGTGGTGGTGTTGACAGGTTGTGTCCCAGTAAACGGCCCTTGCGGTGAATAAAAGCGGCCTGCAAGGGGGAAGACAGCAGGGGCCCGTGGGGAGAGGAAACGGGGGGGAGGATACAGAGGAGGCGGCGGCAGGGGGGGCTGGTGGCGGCGGTGGAAAACGTCAACAGCAGTAGCGCCAACAGCGACCGTAACCCAAGACAAACCGCAGCTGACACCGGGGGGGTTCGGGACGTGGCGATGTAGTTGACCCAGATCAGGTCAGATCAGCTCCCACCCAGAACGTATCTAATTAGATACAACCACACGTGCGCCCGCGTGCTTGCATGCTACATGGGAGTAAATAAGCGAGAGCAAGAGCAAGGGAGAGCTGGCGCTGGCGCTGGCTGGCGCCGCATCTGAGGCATATATTCATTACCTGTTATAAATATCCGTCATACATACATACGTATGCGACACCGGCTATTGCGTGCGTAATGGCGTATGGGCGTCATCTGTCTCGCCGTACAACCCTCTACGCGTCACGTCTCATACCAATAACTTTTCCTCGTGATCGTGTTTTGCTCGTGTCCGTCAACTGGTCAAAACTCGTCGGCGAGTCGCCTCCGTGTTATCAGTCGAAAATGGCATTTGGGTTCTCCTCCTCTCCGATTCGCGCCGCTCCTCTGTCTTCCTTTTCCTTGAAGGGCAATCTCCGGCTCTCCCTCCCTCCCTCCCGTCCTCTCCTTAGCCGAATTAGGGTTTCATCCGAGTAATAACCTTCCTGCAGTTGCGGGTTCCTTCCTTTCCATTTCCTCACCAAAACCCCCCCTCTTGTCCTTATTACAGGGATAACGGGGCAATCATGCAGGATGATTGGCAGTTTGGATTGGACATCGCTGAAGGAGGCGGCTGTTTCCCGATTCTAATGGCCTCGCCTCCTGTGTCAACGCGGCTCTGTGGCGCGGTCAAACTCGTCGGGACGCACCTCGTACGCCGCGACGGCTATGCAGCCCAGCGCCTCCACGGGAGAACCCTCGATTGCCGCAGGCAAGTCCAAAAGGCCCGACTGGGATTCTAGGGATGCGAAGTCGATTTCCAAGGAATATTCCCCGCCACCGCCACGGGGCCGAAGCGCTTCCACAAAAGTGTGGCCTCCCCCCGACACGAAAAATGTTATAAGATCATGGATCAAAAGTGCGCGCCGGTCGCTTCGGGAATATTCTTGAGGTGGAAAATAATCGGCCCAGGCCGCGGGAGGCGCGCTGGGGGCCTGGGCCGCGGCCGGGGCTGCCATCGTGGCTAGGGATGTTGTACAGGGCTCCCAACTTGTCAATCCTTAAAACAAGACAGATCAGTCTTGCCTGCTCAAAAGGAAAAGTATAAAGATGACCAAACCTGTAGGTATGGCGGTCAAAGTAAAAATTCAGCAAGAGGGTCTTCGCGCCTTTCGGTTGTTGTACGAACGGCCGACCTCTCAAGGTTTCTTGCCTGGTCATTTGGTAAGACTTTATACGTTTTGTTGAAGTATGCTGCTATGTCGCAACCTGCTATGCCGTTACCTGACTTGGTAGCAGGTGACAGGCCTGCCCATCGGCAACCTGATGCATATGACGAGCCGGAAGGTTGGGCTGGACTTCCGGCTGACTTGCTGTACCGTATTTCTTGGCTTCTTAATAGACAGCATGACCTTCCATGTCTTATGGCAACGTGCCGCTCTTGGCACAGTTCGCTGAAAGCAGCTCTGACAGCGTTGCGGGTGCAGTGCCTCGGGGAGCCTGCGCTGGGCATTCCGTTTTCGTCGTTACGCTTCTTGGATGCCTCTTTTTTGAGGCGAACAGCTTTCGGAATTTCGTACCTGGCCCCGATATGGAGACCGGAAAGGCTGGGCATGGATTTTCCAAGCCTTACCAGCCTAAACATAGCAGGCCAGGATCTCGGGCATCGAGGACTCCACGTTCTGACAACGCTGGCGTGCCGCTTACAGCACCTAGATTGCTCGGGTTGCCTGTTGCGGGTTACCGACATCCAGCCTCTGGTGCAGCTCTCGCGCCTCACGTCCTTGGCGCTCAACGCAGTCAGAACAGGACCCCTGCAGCAGCACACTCCAAGCGCCGCATACTTGCTCGCGGTCGAGTTTGCAACCACAGCGGTACCGGCCCTTACTCAGCTGCGTCGCCTCGAGCTCTGCCTGGACGAGCAGCTGGGCGCAGATTCGACAAGCACATTAGAACGGGGTCCCGGACAGCCCCGCCCACAGACTCCCGGGGGAACTGTGGGACTGCCGATACTTAAACTGGTCAGCCACTTGTCCGCTCTTCGTGATCTGAGGTGAGGAAAGGCCGCCAACCCCCCTTCTCCCAACCCCGCCCGAGCCAGGGTGGTCAGGCCATGCGTTAGACGGCTGCCCCCTGTTGTATACACTCCTATTCCCCGCCAAATGACCCCTCCCCTCCTTCTTGCCCTTCCATGCCCTTCTTTCCCCCCCCCCACCGGCACCCCTTCCAGCTGCCTCCTGCTGACTCGCCAACAGCTACACGCCACCGACATCGCAGCGCTCGCAGCCATGACAGCCCTCACCCGCCTCGCCATATCCTGGTACGAGCACCTGCCGGCGCTGCACCTATCAGCAGCCGCCTGGGCCGCACTCGTGGGGGGACCCATGGGTCGCAGCCTGAGGGCCCTGGAGGTGGACCTGACGGGCTTCGTGGCCCGGGAGCGACTGAGCCTGGCCCCGTTGAGGTGCCTCAGGGCGCTGCGACTCCGCCGCTGCCAAAACATCGACCTGCTGCTCAGCCTTATGCGGGGGTTGCAGCAACCGCCTCAGCCGCCGCCTGCGGTGCCGTCGCAGCTGCCACCTACGGCTGCAGCAGCGGCCGCCACGGGCGGTTTCCCGCGAGTCCCTCCTCGTGCCGGTGGTGCTGGTTCCGGAGGGCCAGGATGGGCGGGGCGGTGGGTGAGCTCCGGCGGCAGCGGAACACCAGCACCAGAAGCACCAGCCGCAGCAGCAGCAGCAGGAGGAGGAGGAGGACTATGGGGGGCTGTAGGAGGTGTTGGTGGAGGAGATGATGGCGCTGGTGGGTTGATTCGGTTGGAGCTCCCGGAGGCCGGGGAACACATCACCCCGGCTCTTGTGGCGCAGGTGTGTGTGTATGTATGTGTGTATGTGCATGTCTTTAATTGGGGAAGCGGAGTGGAATGGAGCCAAGGGCAAGGGGGACCAGGAGAGAGTGAGAGCACCAAAAAGGGACACCAAGGTGGAAAAAAACGAAACATCCGGGACGTGCAACCACCACCACCTGCTGCTGGGGGGGGGGTCAACTGCGAGTCGACGGAAATACCCTCAGCACCAGGAGGACCTCGGCTGGGTGAGGTAACTACCTTACCTCAAGACAACACGATTGATAACACGCTTCGCCCCAAAGTAATGTGAGGGTACTGCCATATTCTGCCCATCATCACCACCACGATCGCCCTATCTCCGGCTCGTCTTCCCCCTCTGAAGGAGAGGACGGGCCATCATCAACCCACCAATTATGTTATCATCACCACTGCCACCACTGCCACCACGACACCGTCCTTCCCCCTACGCCTACTGGTTTTCAGTTCTGCTCTTTCCTTGGCAGCAGCTTCACTCGTTCGTGATTCTCGTCTTTCCCCCTCCTCCTCATCTCCCCACCCCTGGCAGCAGCTTCAATCGTGTGTGGTTCGTCTTTCCCCACCCCCACCTGCTCACCCCTCCCTCCCCTTTCCAGGTTTGCAGCCGGCTGCCCCAGCTGCGCTTCCTGAACCTCAGCCGGTGCTTCAGGTACGTGGGGAGGGAAGGGGGACCGGGAAGTTGTGTGTGGCTGGCGAGCGGTGAGGTGGAGGCGGGTAGTAGGCAGGTATCTGTGGGTGGCTCTAGAACAGCTTTTACTGTGTCACGGGGGGTGAGAGTGTTGAAAAGAAGGCGCATTAGGCTTAAGAAGGACGGGAGGTGATGGTGCGCGCTGTCCGGATCTGGGGCTGGATTGTTCCACCCAGCCGAGGGACCTCCCTTTCCCCGTGGGGCCCACCATCGGGGGCCGCGGTAAAATGTATCATTTCGCCCTCCCCTGCTTAGCCCGCCTAGGTCGTTTAGGCTGGCTGGTACCCGCGGGATTATTGCACACACGCACCGAGCTCCATCTCACTTGCACGCATGGACCCAACCCAATGACCTCCCGCTCCCTTGCCAACCTCCGGTCTTCCTCCGTTGACCACCCGCCTCACCTCACCTCACACTCGCCTCACCTCACACTCGCCTCACCTCACACTCGCCTCACCTCACACTCGCCTCACCTCACACTCGCCTTACCTCACACTCGCCTCACCTCACTCCCAGCCTCGCCTCACTCCCAGCCTCGCCTCACTCCCAGCCTCGCCTCACTCCCAGCCTCGCCTCACACTCGCCTCACCTCACACTCGCCTCACCTCACTCCCAACCTCACCTCACACTCGCCTCACCTCACACTCGCCTCACTCCACATTCGCCTCACCTCACCTCACACTCGCCCGTTCTCCTCTGTCGCCAGATCCCGACCGCGCTTTCAATTCGGCGGCGACCTGCTCGTCCGGGATCTTGCCGTACTGTGTCCGCTGCTCGTTGAGCTCGTACTGCAGGAAGTCCCGCTTCACGGCGCGGGTTTTCCGGACGGTCGTGACCTGGCGCTGCTGCCGTTCGTCGGCTCCGAAACCGAACCCACGGCTGCCCCGGGGGTAGGCCCTGCCAGCACTATGGCCCAGCGTCCCGGTTCCGCCGCCCCCGCCGCCGCCGCCGCGAGCTCCGCCACCTCCTCTGGTTCTAGGGGGGGCCCCTCAACCCCCACCCCTTCATCCTCCTCTCCGCCGTCTTCATCATCGCCATCATCGGCATCAGCATCGTCATCGTCAAGCTCGTCGGCAACGATGGCGCCATCTTCGGACTTGGTTCAGCTGCCCTTCCCTCGGCTGAGGTCACTCGTGGTTCAGGGGGGCCCTATGTTTATGAAGAGCAGGTTTCGGAGCTTTGCCCACTTGACGGCGCTACGGCAGCTACGGATAGAAGGTGCGATGGTCAAGTGCTGGGTAGTTGTGATAATGTGCCTTGCGGTGGTTGCGGTCTTTTTGGTTCAATTTAGGTCCTCTGCTGTCCTAGCGGCCGGCGCCCTTCCCTTCACACGCCCATGCAGCCAACCAACGGACGGGTATGCGAATTTCCGCAATCTTTCGACTGGGTGACAAAACCCCCACCCCCACCCACCCACCCACCCACACACCGAGCGTCCAGTGACCACATTATTCCACCATTTCCTGCTCTCCTGCTAATCGGTGGTCAATGCAATCGCCGTGATGATCAAACCCATCATGGACCCCTTCCGCCGCCTTCCCCCCCTTTCTCCTTGGGCTCTTTCGCTGTCTTTCGCGTTTATTTGGACTCCCTCTTTACCCCCCGTTACTCGCGCAAGGGCCCCCTGCGCTCCCGGTCTCGGCGTTCCGGTACCCTGACGGACAGCCCGACCCGAGTACCCCCTTACACCGCGTGTCTCCCACCGCCCGCGACTCAGGCATGACCGAGAAGGACTTCCTAGCCACCTGCAAGATGGGCTGCTACGAGCCCCTCTCCCGTCTCACCGCCCTAACCGCACTGCACATCATGGCGCAACAGCAGCACCAGCAGCAGCAGCAGCACCACCACCAGAACCACCAACACCAGAATCAACAGCACCAGCAGCCGATTGTAGGCGCCGGGGGAGCGGCGGCGCACCCAGCAGGGGCTCCGGGCGCCGCCGCTGGCGGTGCCGCCGTTGCCGTTGCGGGCTTCCCGGGCGGCGGCGGGGTTGGGGGTGAGGGTGTGCTGATGGCCGCTCCGCCGGCTCCTCTCCCTCCTCCTCCCCCGGGATTGGGAGGTGGCGGAGGGCTGTTGGCGGAGCCGGCAGGAGGAGGAGCGGGTGGGGGTGGGGATGGCGGTGGCGGTGGCGGTCCGTCTGTGGCGGGTCGGTGCGGTCCCGGGGCGAGCCCTCACCTCCGACCAGAGCCCCACCTCAACTTCATCACGCAGCTGAGCACCTTGCGGGTGAGTGAATGAGTATGTATGTATGTGTGTATAGGCGCCCTGGCGGTAGCAAGGCGGTCGACGTGGAGCGCATGTGTTGTGTCCTTGGATGTGCCTCGTCCGTCGTGCGTGTCTTCGTTCAGGAGGGGAGGGGGAGAGCAGGAATGGAACACAGCTTGAGGACTGGAGGGCTCTAGGGTTTTACGACTCAACACGAGAAATGCTCTACCCCAGAACACTCACTTTCTGCCGATTCCAACTTTCGTGCCACCTCCATCACCACCACTTCCAGCTCCGCCAACCCTCTCCGTCCGTGAGGGATTTCTTTGCCTTACTCACAAAATTCTGCCTGTGTATCGACGTTTATGGTGTCCCCCTGTCTGTCTGTCTGTCTGTCTACCTAACAGCTTACCTGAATGAAGCTCTCTACATATCTGTCTGTCTGTATGTATGTGATTTCCTTCTATTGTTCCCCTTCACCTCAGGTCCTGACCCTGGAGGCGGTGGCCACCCGCGGTCTGGTGTTCTCCTACCTGGCCCAGCTGCCCCACCTCAGGGCGCTCTCGCTGGCGGGCTGTGTGGACTTCTCGGAGGGCGGACTGAATAGCTTCAAGGTGAATGTGTCTGTCTGTCTGTCTGTATGTATGTGTGTCTGGGGGTGGGGTGGGGGTTGGGGGGGAGAGGATGGGGCCGGAAGTCGGGTCGGGTCGGGTCGGGTGGGTATCGGTGTGTAGAGGTGTGTAGAGGTGTGTAGAGGCCCGCCATGGACTTGGTTCGTGGAGCTCTCAGTGGTAAGTAGACCCCCCTTCCCTCCGCTAAATACGGCCTATGTAGGCCGCCTAGTTGCTTGGGGCGGCTTTGGGCGATTGATGCTTTTTTATGGACGCTTTTGCACATTATTGATTATTGATGTTTCTTTTTCTCTTCTGTTCCTCGTGCTTCTGGATAGTTCCGCTGCTCTCCTCCTTCTTAATGGTCGCTAGGTGTATCCCTCTGCCCCTCCGTCGTGCAGATGTCGTGTATGGCCGGTCTTCGGAGCCTCCGACTGCTGGGTTGCGTGTGGGAGGGCGGGGACGCCTGGTGAGAGGAGGGCGGCAGGGAGGGAGGGGGGGAGGGACTCCATCAGGGGGCTAGTAACGCGATCCTGAGTCCTGACACCTCTTATTATGGGCTGAAAACCTTTATCAGACCGCGATCCCCACACCCCCAAACACACATACACACATGCACAACCATACACACATGCACAACCATACACACATGCACAACCACTTCCGTTGTGTCCCCGACCCCCCGTCCCCCCCGTCTTTCCCCCCCGGCACCGTGGTTCGTGTTTCCCCCCGGCACCGCTTCAGGAGCCTTATGTCCTGTCTCCCCGGCACAACCCCCTCCCTGGAGCAGCTGGAGCTCGGAGCCTGCCCGGGAATTACCGTACAGCGCCTGGCAGCACTGTTCTTGCTACAGCCGACAGCACCACAGCAGCTGCAGCTGCATCAGCATCGCCCCGCGGGGTCGGGTCCCGTGGGGGGGGTGATAGCGGCACCAGGTGCATTGAGCCAGCTGCGTTATGTACGACTGTACGGCGCGCCCATCAACAGGCATGCGGTGCTGCATGAGCAGGTGGGGGGCGGGAGCGGTGGGGGGTTGGGGATGTGTTTTGGGAATATCGCCCCAGGTGGGTAACAGGCGAACGAATGACGTCATCGTCGTCCTATCCAGCTTTCTTCTTTGCAACGGACCACCTCCCCCGAGGACCTCTGTGTTGATCCCGCGCCTCCAACCCCTCTTCCTCCCCCTCTTCCTCCTCCTCCGTTCCTAGACCGTTTTACTTTCGCTGCCTCTCCTCTAGTACGTCGATTCAGCCGCCCACTGCTCCGAAACCCTTTCTCGAACTTCTCCTTCTTCCGCCCACTGCTCCGAAACCCCCTGGCGCCCGGCCCTCAGGCAGCCCTGGCTCAGTGCGGCGGCAGTCTCCGCTTCCTGGACCTGGTGTCCACCTGTCCCGGCTGCGAGAGCTTCAGCTTCGTACGGCACCTGAACGGATTCCGGCTTGTGACTCCGGAGCTAGAGGAAGGGGCAGGGGGAGGGCACGTGTGGCGGGTACGGCATGGTGGAGCCGGGTACGACAGGGATACGAAGCTCTCCGAGGAGACGGGCTGGGAGGGTTCAGAGGCGGCGGCGGCGGCGGTTGTCGGTTGGGTTCACGACTGGGTACCCCGGGGTGTGGAACCCCCCGGGGAGATATTGTAATAGTGCTGTAATACTATCCTGGCTGTTTCACGCTGTATTGAAGCTTGTGCGCTTATTGTTAACTTCTTTAGCATTAATACTGGTGGCGATGATGTGCAAGCCGTTAGGAGACGATGATGTTGGTGATGTTAGTGACGTTGGTTTTTGAAGGGATGATGACAGTGTAGCAGCGGTCGCTGCTTCAGTGTGTTGTTACTGATGGCGATGACTTCAATGTTGTAGAGCCCTTGGGATATCTGTCCTGGTTGTTGGAGAGTGTGTGTACATTTGTACATTACATCGCATTGTGGAGCTGCATGTGAAGGTGGTGGGGGTGGTGGGGGTGGGCGTGGCACACCATCTTCCGTATATGGTGAAGCGTATTAGTACATGGTCGTGTTCGTACATGTTCTTTTGACTTGAAGCCTTGTGGAAGGAAGTTCTGTTGGACAATGAGGCGATGGCATGTCGTACAGGCGCCTGGGCGTTTTCGATGTACGTGGCTCTTAAACCTTGTTGCCCTAAACCTTGTGGAAGAAGGGATGATGTGTAGAACCCTCATTCACGAGGTCTGCTGCTGCGCTAGTCAGTGTAGGGGTGTAAAGCATTAGCCCTGATCCTGTTCATGTTTTTGTGTTCTATGCATATGCACTAAGCGCAGAGCGCGATGGCACCCGCCTTTACGAAGGGGTAAAGGTTACCGCTGATGCTGCGGCCGGCTTGAACACCGTAACACGGACACCTACTCCTCAGTCACTGTGCTGAGGCGATGGCGGCCACATACAATCTCGCTCTAACCCACGAATAATCCATTGTACCAGCAAACATACCTTTGTACCCCTAAGCAAAAGCGTCCACTAATGAGAAAACTTCCGTACTATGGCAGTCGGGCGAAATCGTCGTACTTAACAGAAATAAAGCAACATCCCTGTTGAGTGAAACTGAAGCTGCGATGCTCTCATCCCTCCATGCGACGAGGGCATGGAGGGATGGTGGGCTGCGGTGATGCCGGTGACAGATAAGAGCTGAATCAAAGTATTTTAGCAGCTGGGATAGCGATGGCTCCGTGTTTGCCGTACAATCAGTATGGTGATTACCTATTGTGTACGGCATTAACTCCGTTTCCTTGCAGCCATTTAGTTACCTCGTGGTTGTTTATACCTCAACATCCCGCCTCAACATATCGCCGGGGGACTGGCAGACACGGTGGGCAGGCTGGGTGTGTTGGATTGAGAGGGGGGTGGCGACGGCTTTGCGTTTTAAGGCTGTGGCCGGTTTCACGGATTCCGTGTAGCGAATGAAGGCCGTTTATTGACGATTTTCAATTCCGTTGCAAGTTACACGGACAACTGGCAAAATTTAACTGCTCAACCGGTCTTTCCCCAGCTGTTGCCACAGCGACCCAAAGCTCAAGGATAACTGTCAACCGCAGCACCACTTTTCGGATCATCGGATGATCGACGCGACGAGCATAGTTGTGCCATTCAATGAAAAATAATTATTAGTTTTGAATCATGACAATCTAATTTTGGCTAGTCAATTACATTTATGGTAGCAGTTGACAACAGGGATGATCGCTTGCGAACCATATCAAGAATTGCATTTATGTAATAAAATAAATCACTTGTGCGTTATCCATGCGACAGGGACATGCCCAGCAGATAGTGGAGATCATCGGCTCACTTAGAGGAGCATTGATGAAACGTACGGTACGACGCCTTCGAGCAAGCGGAGGTAAAAGCTTGGGCCCTACACCTATAAGCTGGTGATTAAGTCATATTGCATACAGAAGCTTGTGGCGCATATATTAGCTTGTCTGACGATCTGCTTTGGTAGAACACAAGTGTGCACACATACGCCTTCGCATACTGATTAAATTATAGGTTCTCCTTTCCGGCAACCCGCTGTAAAGCTTTGATTATATATAGCAAAATACAGGTGTTGGACACGTTTCGGGGAGGCATAATTTCTGCCGTTCGGCTCTCGCTTACAACCTAAAAAGTAAGCGCAACTTCAGTTTTTCGAAAATCAGATTACAGCTATGTCGACCCTTTGTTTGTTGCTCAAATGGTTTGATGCTGCTAAGCTGGGCTGTTACTGAGCGCACACCCATGTATATCTGTCTCTCTGCTCTGACCTTCCAACAGTGGGCTGCGGCACGTCAAAGGATATCGGGAACACGGCACAGGTGGGTTAGACGGGCTTTTCGAAAATCCTGGTAGCCGCGGCCCAGGCCGCATGCGCACGCCGCCAGCTGGCGGAGCAGCGCACCATTGCCGTTACCTGTCAGCTGGTCTAATGAATACATTTTATATATTACATCTTTCGGTTGGCACTTAAGTCTCGGAACACGATAGTTGGGCCGCGTCCGCGGTCTGGTAGTTCGCTCAGGCATCGATCGAGGCTTCGTCAATCCGTTGTCAGCACGCAGCTTTGTGGTGATTCCAAGTAATTCCCATCCTTTGTTGTATCCTGACTAGCTCCGCCCTTCGGCCATGTTCCCCAAAAGCTTAACATTTTTGCGTGTTCCGCCTGCAGGCGCCCGTTTCCGCCGACCCCAAAGCCAAGTCCTCCACGGACGCTGCGGGCGCTGCGGCTCCCACGCAGCCGGCCCCCAAGGATGGAAAGACGGAGTGGCACCTCCTGCAGTACGTGGATGACCTCTCAAAGGTCACGCAAGGCGCCTCTGTCCCGGGCTTCTTCCTCACGGTAGGTACGGGACGCGGTCGCGTCGCGTCACGTCGCACAGTGGTGCTGTGTGCTGCGCGTGCTTTGTGCCTCTCTCCCCGCATACACGGCAACACCACAGGCATTTCAGCATCAGGAACGTGAGGCAAGCGGCGCATGGGTGAAATTTAATGTTTCCAACTAATTCCAACTAACCCCAACTAAACCAAACTAACTGGGGTAGTAGAAGTACCCGGACAGGTTATTGCTGGGGTATTGTCGGGTCCCGGTGCTCTCCCTCCCACCACTTATTGGACCGTCCAGCTTTGGAGCTCTCGCTCCCTCAGTCACGACCCCCTCCCTCCCTCCCTCCCTCCCCTCCCTCCACCGCAACCCCACCTTTTATCACATTCGCCCCTACTGCCCCTACTTAAGACCCCGCCACTACCCCACCCCGCCCCGCCTAGATAGAACCCTGTGGTCTGTGGCTCATTGATCTCCGCTTCTTCTCTACTCCCTCACGGTTCCACCCCTCACGGTTCCACCCCCCACGCTCATGCACCGTCCTTGCGTACAGGTCCATGACAACAAGGCGAATGGCCTGCCTCGTCTCGGTGTGGTGAATGTGTCCAACGGATCCATCACCCCCATCCGCATCAAGGACAAGAGCCGCGGCCTGGCGGAGGCCAAGGACCTGGAGTGCCTATTCATGCTGGACGGTGCGGTGGCGGGCAAGAAGCAGGCGCTCTACGTGGCCATGACGTCCACCGGCAAGGGCTTTCTGTTCCGGGTGAGAGAGGGGGTGTCTGTGTGTGCTCTATTTCAAGTGCGCGGGTGCGGGTACATGCGGAAGGATGTGCCGTGTACGTATGTATGCATGTATGTCGAATGTCGGTACGGCGTTGAGGTACGACACGGAAAATGGTGTATCCGGGGGAATAAGGACGTCGCTTCCTCCTTCACCCATGGTCGTACGGCATATGGATATGATGGCCGTTGTCGGTTGTGTCGGTTGTGATCTAACACAGGTGTCCAAGAAGAAGAAGAACTGGGTAGCGCACGGCGTCAAGTCGTTCAAGGTCCGCCCGCCCCCGGGGGAGAGCACCGCGGATACCAACTGCGAGGGCGCACGAGCCTTCTTGGAGAACGGCAAGCTGTACATGGAGTACGGCAGCCGCGGCGGCCTCAACCCCGAGGGAAAACCCATCACGCCGTGGATTGTGCGCGTCCCGCTGGACATTGCGGCCATCCGGAAGGGCAAGTTCACCGTGGACCCTGCGCACATGGACGTGACGTACTGGCCTGAGATGATTGACAAGGACCCGAAAGTACGGCAGTGCGCCGATATGGGCCAGGCTGTGGGTATGGCCCGGTACGGACAGCTGTTTGCGGCGGCGAAGGACGACGAGGCCACGGAGACGCACTTCAAGTCGTACATTATGGAACGTCTACCGGGCGCTCAGACGGGCGGTGTGGAGAACTTCAAGCCGCTGTTCTGTGTGCAGGGCGCCAAGATTGAGGCCATATTCGACATCACCAAGGTGATGCGGCGCCCGGTGCCTTGCTTCGTTTGTATGTATATACATGTGTGTATGTATGTGTGTATGTGTGTGTATATCTATATATGTGTGTATGTATGTGTGTATATGACATGCGCACAGCCCTAGCTACCGCTCTACTTTCCGCCACTGAGATCCGTACGACATCGCTAGCAGATATGTACTCTTCTACCCACGTTGCCGCCGCCGCCGCGATGATGATGACTCTACCACCCAATTCACAACTGGTGGTAATATTGTGACGAGAATATATTCCGGATGCAGAATTTGTCAATCTCTGGTATCTGCTTCTATCGCCATTGTGTATTTTACCAGTTTGTGTTAACCCCCCTCCTCTGCCCGTTTGCCACGTCCGCCTCTCCCGCATCCACCTCTCTCCCTCCAGGATGTGAGTGTGTTCGCAACCGACGATGAGGGGAAGGGCGCCGTACTGACCATCCTGCACCGCCACAGCGGGCTGGCCTGGAAGCAGCGAGTGAAGCCGCCGCAGGGACAGGACCCGCGGTTGTACGGCATCTCGGGCATCTCCCCAGTCGACCCAGGCATTCGCAAGAAGCACGTGAGTTGGTTGGTTGGTTGGTTGGTTGGGTAGGGGCCCCCCATTACCCCGTCGTCCAATCCCTGCTTGCCCGCCTCCCGGTTTGACTCCCTCACCCTCCCTGCCTCTCTCCTCCCGCCTCACAGGACGAGAGCAGCAGCGAGTCGGAGCAGAGCAGCGAGGACGAGGAGGAGGAGGAGGCGAAGGAGGAGTTGGAAGAGGCGAAGGAGGAGTTGGAGGAGGCGAGGGAACAGCTCGAGGAGGCGCAAGAACAGCTCGAAGAGGCGCAGGAGCAGCTGGAGGAGGCGCAAGAGGCCTTGGACGCCGAGTGAGCGGAGGTACAAGGAGGAGGAGTCGGCGGCGGCGGTCTTCCCTCCCCTCCCCTCTCTCCCCTCTCTTTCCCCCCTGGACGGGGCAGTTCCATGGCGGTGCCGCGGCAGCTGCCGTACTGTTGCGTGCGGTGGAAGGTTATAGCGTTTCGTGCTCGTGTATCTCTGTAAGTAAGTATGTTCGGAATCTCTCTATATATATACATATATGTATTCGTCCGGTGGTCCTGTGGGGGCCCTAGCCTTATGACGGACTGATGACAACTTCCTGACGACGACGAGGACGACGATGATGAAGACGATGAGTTCCCCTGTTGGTGTCAACACACATACATACATACATGCATACATACAGCATACAAACTCTCTCTCCCCCCCTCTCTCTCCCTCTCCCCCATTTTCCCTCCTGCTGAGGGAGAAAAAGAGGGAGAGACCATGAGGTGGGGGGATGAAGAAGACTTGCTGGTAGTAGTAGTGGTGGTGGTGGTGCTGGTAATGGTGGGCATGACGACATGTGGGGCTGGTGGCGCGGTTGGGGGTTGCGGCCGGGGTTCCCAGGGAGGCGGGAGAGAGGGGCTTAGGGTTGAGCGAGCGAGGGGATGTTACCTGGTGGGGTAGGTGGGATAGAGGCAGGAGGCGATGTGAGGTGAGGGGATGTGATGTGAGGTGGGGTGCTGGTAGCGTTGGAAAAGACCAGGGACCTGGGCCGGTTGCGGGCAGCAGGCACAGCTTAGGCCTCGAAAAGGGACGTTTGGAGCGTTGGGGACGGATTAGGCCCCAGCTGACACACGGCGCACAAGAGAGCATACGTACGTCTGTCTGCCTGTCTGACGTGTGTAAGTTGGTCCTGTTGCACATTTGCATGCAATGTGCATTGGGGTGGCTATAGCTATGATGTGTCTGTCTGCGTGTATATATTCGGTGCGGCGGCGACATGCGAACACTTGATCAAGCTCTTGCTGCAAAGCACTTGAAATGACGATTATAAGCACTGGGTGATCCGGAGACTGTTGTTGGTGATGGTGGTCGTGGTGGTGTTTACTTGGGATACACCACAAATACTACCGCCGCCGCCACCACCAGGTGAAGCTTTCAATAACACGCACATCTCGTCGGCTTATTCGCGGCGATAACCTCTTAGGGGGAAAAAACCCTTATCTTATGCACCGCACGATTTACAATATTGACGCCACCCGGTACCCGGTACGGCCTGCTGCTACCACACACGTGCTTCATACTGCCGTATATCGCTGGGTTAAGCGGGATTTTCCCCTTTCTTTCCCAGCAGCCACCCCTTGACGCCGTTAGCGAGGGCGGACGGTCGTTTATGTCCATGTTGACGTGGTCATGGTCGTGATGGTCATCGTGGTGGTGGTGGTGCTTGTAGAACGTGTACAGTCGTTTGAGGACTCTCTTTTTAGTGACAAGACATTCACCGACTGATTCAGGGTACACAACCATGACACGACCGCGTGCATGACGTCGTGATTATCAGTCGTACGGCGCATGTGCGCTTTACTCTTGAATGTACATGACTATGTATGTATGGTTGTATGTCTGTATGTGTGTATGTATTTATGCATGCATATCTTTATACCTCGCCCCGAGGGCGCCTGGGCGCAAGGGTTGGTCCCGCTAGGGCCTCTGTCGCGTCCCTGAGATGACTACATACAGACGTACATAAAGACACGGCGGACATGGCATTAATATATTAGAGGACAGTGTGCTTTGTTGTAACTCCAAACACCCTTTTTAAGTCGCCACAGTTGCCGGTGTTGCGCTGAGGTGTGTTATATCTCCCTCCACTGGCCGTGTTTGTTTGTTGCTGCCGATAGAAACAGTAGCGACAAGAAGCCGCTTCCCACCCCTGGAGCGGCAACAGCAGTAACGTCAGCACGTACCTAGGTGGTGATGTGATGGTGGTGGTAGTGGTGTGCTGCTGCCAGCAGCTGTCGGAGCAAGTTGCATAATCAAGCAGCCGGCTGGCACCAGCAGCCGCCTCTTCAACACACAAACCCAAAACCGCGCAAGTCAACCTCCTCCTCCTCCTCCTCCACACCATCAGCACCAGCACCAGTACCAGCAGCAACGTCATCTCTTGTATCGCTCCAGGAGGGGCAACACCACCTCCAGGGGCCAGGCATCAGCAACAACAAGATTGCCCACCTGTGTACGACGGAGTTCGTCCAGGCACGCACACGTGCGCAGTCGCCTGCCGTACATCGCTACCACAGACCGTATATGCGCCCGGCCGCTTAACGACATGGAGAACCTAACTACACGACCCACCCCGCGAGACGGTGCCGAATCGCCATCGCTGACACTGCTACTGCCTCCGCTGCCGGGTTTGCGTACGGCAGCGGCCCAAGCATCACCCGAAACAGATCCAGCCACCGCCGTTACCGCAGCACCAGCGGTGGCGGCGGCCGCGGCACCACCACCGGCTGTAGCCCTGGCGCGGGCGGCTGCCGCGGTGGCGGTGGCGGCCATAGCGGCTGTAGCTGCCCTCGCCGTGATGTCCTCTTCAGTCGCCCTCCACACTCGGAAATCGAGGAGCTGCAGGGGCAGTGTACGGCTGTGCCGTACGGTAGCCGTGAAAATATAGCGTCGGAAGAAAGAGAAGGGGAAAGTTAACTTTAATAAATTTATTAATGATCGATGGGTGGGAGGGGGCAGCTGTGCTAATACAGGCGGGAGATGCGTGCGTGTGCATACATGCCCCCCGCCACACGCGCTTCTGATACCCCAGCCCCTTCCTCTACAGGAGGCGACAAACCCTGCAAAACCCCTAACACCCCTCCAACCCACCCCCACTACACCCCCACCCCCACTACACACCACTCACACACTCGCCCCCTTGTCCTCTTCATAATAGTTGAAGCTGCTGGGGTACTGCCGTAAACGGTATCGGAGCGGTAAAACCTGCAGCACCGTTCCGCCGCCGGCGCCTGCTACTGCTGCTGCTCCTTCACCACCACCACCACCACTCGGTCCGGCTAGGAGGAGCCTATCGTCGACGTCCTCCGGGTAAACGTCCTCGTCCTCGTCATCGCCGCCGCTACTGCTACTGCTACTGCCCATTCCCGCCATCATTCCCTCCGCCGCCTCCTGCAGGTCCTCATCTGAAGAGGGAGGGGGCGGAGGAGGGAAGTGAAGCAACAGCTGTAGCAGCAGTAAAGGCTTCCCAACTGCAGCTGTAGCAGCAATAGCATTAGCTCCATGACACAATCTGACCAAGCTGCGGCAGTAGCAAGAAAGACGTAATACTAGTTGCAGGGTAAGTCCCAACGCCATTACCAGGTCCGCCCTCCCCTTCCTCCCCCCTTCGCACACACACACACACACACGGACACATACACACGGACACACACATCCTTCCCCTCTCCCTCCCCCTCCTCCACTCACCATCACTCACCTGTGATGTGCTCCCAAGGTAACGCCTCGCGGCCCGCCGTGTAGCTGGGACCCCGCACGTCCCCCGCAGCCGCCGCACCGCCAAGAACCAGACTGCCCTCGTAACGCTTCACAGACCGCTCCACCCGGGGAGACATCCGAGTGGCGGCTCCGAAACACAGCAACATCAGACCCGACGCGGCGGCGTCCAGCGGAGCCACTGAGGCGACCTTGCGCGCTCGTGTCGAACGCTGCACGGCAGTTACCACCTCCGAAACCTCCCAGTGCGCGGGTTTGTCTATTAGTAGGAGGCCGTTGGCGAGCACGTCCTGATGGAGGTGGGCGGGGAAGGTGGTCATCACGGTGGGGGGCCCCAACTGGGGCGGCGGAGCGGCAGCAGCAGCCGCCAAGGCCGCGGCTGCGCTGCGGCCGCCGCCTGCAGCTGCCGCTGCTGCTGCTGTAGCACCTAAAGGGGCTTTAATGTTGGGTGAGTGGCTGAGCGCGGCTGGAATGTTGAGGAGCAGCTGTCTCCGCGTTGTGCTGCTGGTCGTAGCGATGGGAGCAGCAGCGCTGGCTGTAGCTGCAGTTGGCACTAGAGGAGTGTGTGTAGCCGGTGTGGGAGCAAGAGCAGCAGCAGCAGCAGCACGGTGGAGTGTGCGGTAAGGGTTCGGCGGTAGCACTGCGGAACGCGGTAGCGCCGGGGGCATAGCTGCTGCTGCTCCTGGGCCGCGGCACAGCGACGGTTGTTGGATGCGCGGAAAGAGGATTGGAGGTTGAGAAGGCCCCTTGCGGTGTAGCTGAGAGATGTGGGGTTGGGTTGTGGCTGAAGTAGTGTAATAGAAGAGGGCCCGGACGGTGACTGGCTGTGCTGTTTGAAGTGGGCGCGAATGGCTGTGGGCGACGTGCGGAGGGATGTGATTAAGTGTTATGTCGCCTCACGTTCTGAGTATGTTATTTGTTGGTTTGCGGCCAGATGAAATGTCTAACAGGCGGCAGCCAAGGGCCTGGCCTAAGGACGACGTGGAATGTAATCTCGTGTAGGGGGTGTAAGACAAGGTCTCGCTTGCCTAATCAAGCGGCTGGGCGAAAGGAAAATGTTTTGTGACTTTAGAAGCGTCTCATATCATGTCGCGATATACGCAGCAGGCTCAGGCTGCCAAGGTGGGATTTTAAACATCCAACACGTTACCAGCTGTAATGGATGTGAGGAAAAAGCAAAAATAGATCAGAGTTCTTAGTATCTTTGGCGTGAGCTAAAGCAAATCCGAAGGCGGTGCTCTGATGGATAGCCCCACACCAACCTGAAGCCAACGGACGGATTGGATTAGTTGTTGCTCCATAGGTAAATGCCATTTGCCATTTTCTGTTACAAATAATGAAAGAGAGAAAAGGACTGAGAGGCCCGAAGAAGACGGGCCTTACGAACGGAGAAAGAGACACCGCAACTGAACTAACGCGAGGCTGCGCCAGAAACGGGCGGGCGGGCGGGCGCGCGCTGAACAACAAAAACAAGATAAGCTAACCAGCCTAATGCGCGCAATAAATGACGGCCCTGAGGACACGGGCCGTTGCGAAACAGTTAGACTAACAGTTACGCATTGGGCCTTACGCCCAACTAACCCAGCTTACTTACGCAAGCTCGCATTAGTTGTTGCTCCATAGGTAAATGCCAAAGGAGAAGATACCCCCTCTAGCGGAAATAACAAACAAACTGAGCACCAAAACGGCGCAACGCGACGGGCCGCTAGAGGGACAAAGGACGCGAGAGCTGCCAGACAGGCACACACACCGACACGAAATAAAGCTCCCCAAGCAAAACGCCTCAACGACCTCCAAACGATACTCCAGCAGCAAGGACGGCGAACACGCCATCTCTATACAAAAGAGCGAACAAACAGAACGCTGCCAAAACCACAAGGACGAGGTCAAACCAGCGCTCTCCCACCGCGCACAGACTGACCCACCGGCCACAAACGCGACGGATCCCTCAACAAACGCTGACGGACGCCCACTGAAGGCATGGACGATAGATACGCGAGAATGCCAAACATGTGCCCGCTAAGGGTTGACTAAACGGCCAACTAGGGCTTGAACTGAAAACCGGCTCTGCAATAACGACCGCTCCACGCGCCCAGGGTACTGACAGCAGGGATACGGATGACGAAACCCAGCACGACAAACAGCAAGGTCGGGGCCACCTCCGAACCAACAGGTACACCGGCCAACTGTTCAAAGAATCCACACAGCACCTGCAATAAAGGCCAACACAAAGAGAGTCTGACAGAGCCACGGAGTGCTGCAAATGCAACCAACTACTATAAAAACGCCGCCAGCAGGGGCTGTCTCCAGCACAGGGCGCTCTTGGTTAACCGAGCAAGTCATACACGGAGCTCGCGGAGTTCACGGCACTGAAAATAAGGCTGTGCAGCACGGACTGAGATAAAGCTCTTGGCAGCTAGGAACTGACCCCACAGGAGCCCGACATAAACGGAGTCAGAAAGAGCCCCAGCCTACCGCGACACAGAAAACGCACAAACACAGCGATGCAAAACTGCCAGGTCTTAGCACCAACCCTCGGACAAGGTAACCTGGCAACCGGCAAAGACATGCGGAACGGACTAACCCTAGGCCGGCGAGCGACAGCTGCGATACCAACAGGTTATCAAAGACCGGGGATGTCGCAACGGATTGCAGATCCAGCGAGAAACCGGGACCTATTCCGCGCCAAAGGTACTACTCGAATTTAGTCCCAAATCCAGCGGGGTTGGAACCAGCGGTACCACCGGATACCAAGCAAGTGAAAACGCTCCGATATCACGAGAAACCAAACGCAGGTTAACACAAAGCGACGAAAAACCAACTACCTGCGCGGTGCCGAAGGAGCGCACACACGACAAATCCCTACCTATTCGCTCCACATAACTGCATAACTGCTCCCCTGGCGCAAAGCAACTACGGCGTTCCCTCAAAGATGGTCCCACTGCCCCTATAACAAATAACGCGGCCCACGGGGAAGGGTGAAATGCTAGGAAAGCGCTCCTAGCGGGGCATACACACGGCCGAACTTGCAGCGCCTCACGGAACGACCGAGTGCTAAGCAAAGCGCCCACATGAAGATTGCACCCGCACTGCCACGACCTGCCAGGAAGGGAGTGGTAGATAGGTGCTCGACCCACCCTCGCCCGGCGCAAACAGCTCCGTATTGGACGGCAGGAACACAAGGTCAACCGCCAACTCCATCAACTGTTGCCACCAAGGTTGGGCCGTCCAGTACGGCACGACTAGGGTGAGGCACGCTCCCTCCTCACGCACTTTCTGCACCACAGCGAGCAAGAAGTCGGGGTCCAAGGGTGGGCAGCCATATGCATTAAGCCCTGCCCAAGATTGCAAGAGAGCATTGACCCCCGATGAACCCGGACAATGGTGG